CAGCCACTGCACTCCAGTCTGGGCGACAGAGTGAGACTCCAACTCAAAAAAAAGAAAAATTGTAATTTGAATATCAAGGACATAACTTCATGGATACTGTATTTTAGGAGACCAAATAGGTTTTTCGGTCTTAAAAACTGAGTTTCTTTAAAGAAAAATTGTAATTGTTCCAATATATGGCAAAAGTCATGACAGTGGTATTTAAAGGACTGAAGTTTGGAAAACAGTGATACAAGAAATAACTTCTCAGCTCAAAGGAAAGTCATGAAATCTAACTCTAAGTGACTTCTCTTCCTTTCTAGTCATAAAAGTAAGATGTCCCTTTTAAGCTTTAATTCTGTGGACACTATAGGCTAACCTGGGAGAAAAAGAAAGAGAATAGAATCCAGTACTGGTTATCAGGGGTCTCATTTTCTCTATGATCCTCCTACTGATCACACCATTTTCCTTTCACACAGGTTCAGACCCCTCCTGTTCCTGCAACTCCCTCACCCACAGTACTACCTGAGGTGGCTTCTGGAGGGACTGCGGATGTAGTCCAAGCTGCAGCAGAACAGAGCTTCAGTGAACTGGGGCTGGGGTCATATACCCCAGTGGGACTGATCCAGAACTTACTGGAATTTATGCATGTTAACCTGGACCTACCTTGGTGGGGAGCCATTGCTGCATGTAAGGAGAATATACCCCGGACAAGGGTAGAAGTGGGGACTTAGGGATAGAACCTTAAAGATGACAGTTCTTTGAGTAGATTGAGGAAATAGTTGCAGAAGTTCAGGGGGCAGGAAAGCAGATGATTCAAAGGAAGGATAGAAGCTCATGATACCTAGATGCACTATACTTATATTTCCTAAAGAGCACTAGAAAGCCACTAGATTATCTGGGATTCAAGAAGTGTAGAAATTTTAATATGGGCATGGGGTTGAAGTAAGGGGACCTTATTTTTAACAGTAATGAAGCTGCCCTGGTTTGGAGAAGTAGAAGGTCAGGACAGGCACTTAAACCCCCAAATTGGGAAACCACTCACATTGCTCTTGTAAAGGCTAAACCACTCACATTGCTCTTATAAAGCTGTGCCTTGAATTCTGTTTCTTGACCTTGCTCCATTGGTTGCCTCTTCTTCATTATCTTCCTCCCTATATGCCCTGAACATATAAACATGCTCCAGTATACCTGTGTGTTACTTTTTTTTTTTTTTTGAGTTGGAATCTCACTCTGTTACCCAGGCCGGAGTACAGTAGCATGCTCACAGCCACTGCAGCCTTGATCTGGTGGGATCAGGTGATCCTTCCACCTCTGCCTTCCATGTGGCTGGAACCAGAGTCGTGTGCCACCATGCCCAGCTGATTTTTCTGATTTATTGTAGAGATGAGATCTTGCCATGTTGCTCAGGCTGGTCTCAGACCTCTGAGTTTAGGTAATCCTTTCGCCTCTGCTTCCCAAAGTGCTGGGATTACAGGCGTGAGAGCCACCATATCCGGCTATCCATGTGTTACTTGAGAGGTAATTTCTTCACTTCATCCTTGGTTTTTCTTTACCTACTACCTCGTCTTTCTTCTTCCCTTGAAGGCTGTTATTTACAAGACTGGTGCATTCAGTGAGCCTACTTTTTCCCATTTACTCGTTGACCATCAGTAATCTTGTATTTACTAATATTCTACATTCTAACTCTTCATTCTATGCAAGTGACAGCATTGCTAAATCTACTTATCATGCTGGGCCTTTCTGCATTAGACACATTAGACCTTAAAATCTGTACTGTGGCTTTTGTGACAGTCTTTCCTGATTTTCTTCCTGTCTTTCTGACCCCACCTTCTCATCTCCATTGTCCAATATTCTACCCATCTCTTCAGTGCTGTTATTCTGGATTTCTGGATTTCTTCTCTTTCTAGTCCACATCGTCCATGACAGTGTTGACAAAGCCTAAACGTGTATTTTCCACCCTGGCCTCTTCTCAGCCCAGACCCATTTGTGTGTCTACAGATACCATAGATTTTTATTGGAATGATCAGGAAATAAGTTTAATAAAGGAAGTAGGAAGGAGCTAAAGCAGTAGGCCACCAGATTACTTCCTAATCCAGGAATTTCTAGAATAATGGCCTCCAACGCAAAGGTGCCCCTGAGCAATGAAACCCAGAGCATAAACAACCCTGTAGCCAGGTTTTTCCTTCACCCAGGGTAGCTTGATTGGTTTGTTTTGTATACGGGGGCAACACTTGCAATTGGGGGGCAGGGGAAAAATTCTATTGATCATAGAAAAGTTTAGAATCCATTAACCTAAGAAAGTGCTTCTGTCATCATTTTGTTCAAGGAAACAAACAGGATTCTTGGTATCTGCTTAGAAAAGTTAATGCGAGCCTAGTGCGGTGGCTCATGCCTGTAATCTCAGCACTTAGGGAGGTAGAGGCGAGAGGATTACCTTGAGCTCAGTGGTTTGAGGCCTGCCTGAGCATCATGGCAAGACCTAGTCTCTACAATAAATAAAAAAATCAGCTGGACATGGTGACACACACCTGTAGTTCCAGCTACTTGGAAGGCTGAGGCAGAAGGATCATCTGAACCCAGCAGGTCAAGGCTGCAGTGGCCATCAGCATGCCACTGCACTCCAGCCTGGGTGACAGAGTGAGACTCAAAACAAATTAATAAATGAAAATTTAAAAATTAGCCAGGCTTGGTGGTACGTGCCTGTAGTTCCAACTACTTGGAAGGCTGAGGTGGAAGGATCACCTGAGCCCAGCAGGTCAAGGTTGCAGTGGCTGTAGGTGTCCCGCTGCACTCCAGCCCAAGTGACAGAGTGAGATTCCAACTCAAAAAAAAAAAAGTTAATGTTAGACTTTTGTGATGCCAAAGCAGAGAACTGAACCTTGAAGAAACTAAGTCATACCCTTGACCATAATTCTGGGCCCCTTGGGCATGAGGCACTGTATGGAAAAAGCTAAAATAAGAAAGACCCTTCAATTTTTAGCTTCGGTAAAGCTAAAAACCTTTCAGCCTTCTAGCTACTGCTTTAATTTTCACTCCAATCCTAGTTTGTGTTTTCCAGGTACAGTCCTTGCCCGCTGCCTGATTTTTCCTCTCATCGTGAAGGGCCAGCGAGAGGCAGCCAAGATCCACAACCACTTGCCAGAGATCCAGAAGTTTTCCACTCGAATCAGAGAAGCCAAGTTGGCAGGAGACAATGCTGAGTGTGAGTCAGTTGCAGGATGAGTATGCGAGAGGACCACATTTGTACTTTTTGGAAAGGAACAACCTAAAAATCAGGAGTTGCTACAGTTGGGCAAGTCTAAAGACTTACCTGCTTGAAGACCTGATACTTTTAGGGACTGGCCAGGATCAGTTAGAAACTTCATGGGTCAAGTAATGAAGATGTTCCCTCCTCCACTGACATAACTGTTAGCACAACATAAATTTCCCTTCACCTCACAGTTTACAGGGCCTCCATGGAGATGACACTCTACCAGAAAAAGCATGATGTTAAACTCTTTAAACCTCTCATTCTACCTCTGACTCAGGTGAGCAAAACATTTCTCTTACTTCTTTCTGAACCCATCAGATTTCCTCCTCTGTGTTTCGTGTACCCTGGGCCCCTAAAAAAGCAGGCGGTGGTGGTGAGAGCATGCATGGCTTTCAGTGATAGGGTGGTAAAAATGTCCCCTCTGGTAAAGCATGCTAACACTGTTTATCCTGTGTCATAGGCCCCAATCTTCATCTCCTTCTTCATTGCTCTGAGAGAGATGGCCAACCTTCCTGTGCCCAGCCTGCAGACAGGTGGTCTCTGGTGGTTCCAGGACCTCACAGTATCTGATCCCACCTACATGTTACCACTGGTAGTCACTGCTACAATGTGGGGTGTCCTTGAGGTAAGCCCAGGTTGACCGAGTGCCAGGCCTGCAAAGTGAACTGGGACTGGAGGGTACAGCCATCATCTTTCACTCCCTGGAAAAATAGAGTTGATGGGTAAGAGATCAGAGACAGACTCACTAAAATTGACATGCTTTCACTCCTCTTTTCTGTGTCCACTCCCCACCCTCCACCCCCCTCTTTTTTTGGCAGCTAGGTGCTGAGACAGGTATGCAAAGTTCTGACCTTCAGTGGATGAGAAATGTGATTAGAGTGATGCCCCTGGTAGTCTTGCCGATAACCATCCATTTCCCCTCGGTAGGTAATGACTTAGGGGCTGGCCCCAAGACCTTCCACCTAGCCTAGCTGCCTCCTAGCACACTGACCAGGGATGCAGCCTCTGAGAACCTTCCTGTATTCTTACCCAGGCAGTGTTTGTATACTGGCTCTCCTCCAATTTGTTTTCCCTGGGCCAAGTGGCCTGTCTCCGGATTCCAGCTGTGCGTACTGTCCTTAAAATACCCCAGCGTGTTGTACATGACCCTGCCAAATTATCTCCGCAGGAAGGCTTCTTAAAGAGCTTCAAAAAAGGTAAGCACTCATTCTCTGTAAAACAGGACTCGGGAAAGTTATCTAAAAATAGGAACAGGACTGACTGTCTTGCTCTTCTTTTCACAGGCTGGAAGAATGCTGAAGTAACACATCATCTACGAGAGCGTGAACGACGCATGCAGAATCACTTGGATATAGCAGCCAGGGGTAAGCAGTCCTTTCAGGCTCAATTCTATCTTTGTTCCTTCCTTTCCTTTGTTCACTGAGGTTTGTTTTCTTCCCCCAGGTCCCTTACGACAGACCTTTACCCATAATCCTCTGCTGCAGCATGGAAAGAATCACCCTCCCAACACCCCTAACAGCAGCAGCAGCAACAGCAAACCAAAGTCAAAGCAGCCCTGGCGTGATACGCTTGGCTGACTTATGTTTTTGCTCATGCTGGCAGGGACTCTGTCTCTTCAAAGACTCCTCCTCAACACAAGACTTGACGCTACATCCTTGGTCCAGTTTCAGGAACTGTGGCATATGGAGATGTTCATTTTAAAGACAGATTTTACAGCAAGCTTATGCCCTTGTTTATAAGAGAGCACCGGGGGGGCCAAGTGATCTTCCTATTCACAGAGTTAGTAAACCTGTGTACTACATGCTGCTTCCTGATATTTATTAAACAGGGAAATGGGTGTTTGCCTCAGTAAACTGAAGAATAGAGTAGGTTGTGATTGCTCTTGCTGGTCCAAGGTCTTGGGAGGTATCTTAATGTTTTATCTTGGCATTAAGAGCTTCAACCTTGGCCGAGCTCGGTGGCTCAGCCTGTAATCCCAGCACTTTGGGAGGCCTAGGCAAGGGGATTGCCTGAGCCCATGGTTTCGATACCATCCCGGGCAACTTGGCGAGACCTTGTCTCTACAATAAATAAAATATTAGCTGGGCGTGGTAGCACGCCTATAGTTCCAGCTACTTGGAAGGCTGAGGCAGAAGGATCACCGGTGCCCAGCAGATCAACGATGCTGGGGTGGCCGTGAGCCTGCCACTGCACTCCAGCCTGGGCAACAGAGTGAGACTACAACTACAAAAAAAAAACAAAAGAGCTTCAACCTCTAACCCATATGTGTGTGGTTCCATCCACTTTTGCATTGCAGTCATAGAGGTATGTATGTATGACTGACAACATGAGATTGTATATAAATATAGTAACTATATTTCTTGATTCCAAGAATACTTAAAAAATTTCCTTCAAGCCGGGCTCGATGGCTCAACCTGTAATCTCGCGCTTTGGGAGGCTGAGGTGAGTGGATTGCCTGAGCCCGCGGGTTCGAGACCCGCCTGGGCAACTTGGCAAGACCTCATTTCTACATTAAATAAAAAAATCAGCTGGGCATGTTAGCGCATGCCTGTAATTCCGGCTACTCGGAAGGCTGAGGCGGAAGGATCACCTGAGCCCAGCAGGTCAAGGCTGCGGTGGCCGGGAGCGGCCACTGCACTCCAATCTGAGCGACAGAGTGAGACTCCAACTCAAAAAAAAAAAAAACATTTCCTTCAAGAAGTAGATCTCAAATTCTTAGTGATAATTAAGAAGAAGGAAAATTCAGCTGGGTGCAGTGGCTCATGCCTGTAATCCCAGCACTTTGGGAGGCGGAAGTGAGAGGATTGCCTGAGTCTAGGGATTTGAGACCTGCCTGGGCAACTTGGCAAGACCTTGTCTCTGCAATAAGTCAAAAATTAGCCAGGCATGATAGCACAGGCCTGTGGTTCCAGCTACTTGAAAGGCTGAGGCAGAAGGATCACCTGAGCCCAGCAGGTTGAGACTGCCATGGCCGTGAGCGTGCCACTGCACTCCAGCCTAGGTGACAGAGTGAGACTCTGACTCAAAAAAAAAGGAAAGTTCATGTCATTCTTGTGAAACAACCAAACATTTCACTGCAACAGCTTAGGTGTTCTCTTGTCTGCCTTTGTGTGGAGATTGGTTTTATCAGTCTTCAATAGCTAACTTGAGAGGGAAGAAATACTCAGAAACTTTCAAGCATAAGACTTGTTTTTAGTCCTCCCGTGTGTTTTTAGGCTGATGGGAGCTGTCCCAGTGACACTATATAAAATGAAGTCACTCAGGCTTAGGAACATAACCCTTTTATTATCCAGCACCTGTGACAGTTTATATCTCTAAATGAGATGGGAAGTTTGGAGCACTATGGACCCTTTTAAAGAAAAAGGAGTGGGTAGGCACACCCAGAGGTGCTCCTAGAACAACCAAGCCCACACCTGACATGCTCTGCACCATAGTCTGCATTATAATCCTCTTTGAAAAGTCTGGGACATGTAGCAAAACAAATAAATTACTTTTCATCTCTCAAAAGCAAGTTCAAAGGTTAAAGCTGCCTAGACCAGGCTTCTGGATCAGTGCCTCCAAAGAAGTGAGCTTTCCTTTTCACCTTCCTTGGCTCCAGCCAGTACGAGACAAGAAACCTCTGCTTTCCACATCTCGAGATTCCAGATGATATTTAGTTAGACTTGGGATCTTGTTGCTTGGGTATCTCTCCTCCATCTCCCAGATCCATTTCTGCAGCAACTGACATACACAGGACCTGGAGGTACCATGTGGCAGATGCTACAAAGAGAAATTTGAGTTGAAAATAGGAAGAGGTCTACTGGGCTGAGTTCAAGTGGCACTGAATAGGACTGGTCCTGTGGGGAGTGATTGTTTAGACAAGAGGTTGATAACGGGCTAAGGCAAAGGTGTCTTGAGAGCCTAGATTTGCAGAAAAGGCAAAAGCCAAACTATCCAGTAGCTGAGCAGTCTTAAGGATCCAAGACTTACCCACAATCTTTCGGAGGCCAAGAGGTCGTTTGTGTTCTGGCACTCTGATGATGAGGAAGTAAAAGGGCAAGCCTGAGAGGGCGATGCCGATGCCGATGAGGGAATTGATGGTATCACTGTAAAGTGGAACAGCCACCAGGAAGATGGTGCAGAGGCAGAAGACAATCGGGAAGAAAATGCTTAGCTAAGGGCACAGAGGAAACAACAAGGTTAGACAGCTCAGGATTCTTAACCAAAATAACCACTCCTCCCATAAAGATAGAGCACAGAGCCTTCTTTGTCCCTTCTATCTAAACACGTACCACCCAAGTCCTAGGCAGAGGTTTTGAATGATACATAAGAATCCTGTAGCAGCAGCTCTAGATGTTCCAGATGAAACAGGGAGGACAGGGGTGCATTACCTTGAGGGGACGGGGTCTGTCAGGCTCTTTCCAGCGCAGGTAAAGTTGACCCACAATGGAGAGCCCCACAAAGAACCAGTAGCTGAAGCTGTAGTAGTTAATAAGCTGGAATATGTCTTCCACACACAGGTAGATCAGTGCCATAATACCCTAGAAGCATAAGCCCAAGTCAGCTCTTTTCAGGGCCTTTGTAAATGTTTTTCACTCCCTTCTCCCCCACAAATCGATCCCTGTCCAGTCCTCAAGAGTCCCCTTGCCCTCTATTTCCTTCTTTAGCACCCGAGTTTCAATACCTCATCCCCTCTGTTACAAGTCAGACTCTCAACTGGTTTTTCAACCCCTTCTAGTCAACCCTCTATAAAGCACAGCTCAAAACAGTCCCTTGGCCAGGGTTGATGGCTCAGCCTGTAATCCCAGCACTTTGGGAGGCCAAGGTGAGTGTATTGCCTGAGCCCGTGGGTTTGAGACCAGCCCAGGCAATTTGGTGAGACCTTGTCTACAATAAATCAAAAATGAGCCGGGCATGGCAGCGTGTTCCTGTAGTTTCAGCTACTTGGAAAGCTGAGGTGAGGGGATCTCCGGAGCCCAGCAGGTCGAGGCTTTGGTGGCTGTGAGCGTTCCATTGCACTCCAGCCTGGGGGATAGAGTGAGGCTCCAACTCAAAAAAAAACCTGTCTCTCAAAAGTCTAACATAGACCCTTACCATAGTGACTCTAGATTCCATTTCTAGCTCTTAGTTCCCACTACAGGTTGAGTAACAAATTTTCTTTCAGTGTCAAGTCAGCACTCAAAAAGTTTTAGATTTGAGATTTTCTAGTTAGGGATACATAGCCTGTGCTAAACCCCACAATGCTTTGCCACAGGGTTTTTTGATGATATTACCTAAAGCCCATCTCTACCATTTGCAACCCTAACCTTCAGAATGTACTTCTTGAGAAGACTTCAGTAGGATTTTTTTTTTTTTAATGTACTTCAAGAAGTACCTTTTCACTCACTCTACTTCCATGGAAGTAACCATTTCTTCTGTTAAACACTACATTACTGTCATGGCAATCAGTCGTTACCATGTAATTCATGTACTTTATGCCCTATCTTTGACCAGAGGTGGTTTCATTCTTCAGAACATTTGGATTCTCTAGCAGTTAGTACAGTGCCTTGCGCATGTGGGTTCTGGTCCATCAATAGTTTTTCTATCAGAATTTCCTTTAGAGCTTTCATGAAACTAGAACAGTCATTTCTACTGTGAGTTTCCCCACAATCTGTCTTTCAGTCTCATCCTTGGGATGACTTACGTTGAAGAGCAGAGAAGGCACTGGCGTGAACCGCTCAACATGGATCATGCAGATAGCATCAGGAAGATGGCCTTCTCTTGAGCCCACAAAGAAAAGCCTGTGATAGGTGAGATGGGAAAGGCTGAGTAAATTGTAGCCTGGTTCACCTATGACATAGCCCTCTCTTCCATTGCTTCCTTGAAAAAAGTTTGAATAATATGGAATGGAGTTCAGTATTGAGATTAATAAGAACTGGAGGCTGCTAATGGGAACAAGAAGAAAAAGGTATCACTTTGAGAACACAAGTGGCTGAGGTTCAGATCTTATGTTCTACCATCCCATGCCATAGCTCTTCATAATATACCTCTAGCAAAAGATGCAACTCTTACCTAGAAGCAGCCACAATGGAGGCATTGAGGCCACCAAAGCAGGACAGTGCAACTGCCAGTGGAATTATCCAGTTGAATATTCCAAAAATCTGGTCTGCAAAAGTCTAAGGAAAAGGAATGGAAGCGTCACTATCAGGACTTCAAAGAGAAGAAAGGCATGAACAGGATGCCCCCAGACACCCCCTATTAGGAGTCCAGCCCTTCTTCCACAATGGGAGTAATAGGACCTCGCAAGCCCTGTATCCTAAACGAACTCCTTTCAAGGCTATATACCCCCTTTCCAGAACTTTCAAGAGTTGGGATCTGCCCAGTAGCCCGTAACAGGCCTTCAACCTTCTGCTAGTGAAAATCCTTTACCACAGCAACAGCATCACTGGCCAAGATGTCCCTCATGTCTAGCACGGTGTAATAGGCCACATTGGTCAAGATGTAGATGATAGTGACAATGGGCATGGAGATGCCAATGGAGAGGGGCAAGTTCCTATAGCCAAACAATAAAATATGTATTAGTCCCACAGTCACATCCCTATCTCCCCTTTAATCCTTAGACACTTGCCCCCCCACATACACACACCACACCAATCCTTCCAGGGTGGGAACTCCTGCTGCATTTCCTCAGTGCATGTTTGTCTTTGAGGTTGCCTAGAATATTGGCTGAAGCTCTGAACACTTAATAATTAAATCATAGCCAGGCTCAGTGGCTCAGCCTGTAATCCCAGCACTAGGGGAGGCCAGCATGAGTGGATTGCCTGAGCCTGAGGTTTCGAGACCAGCCCGGGCAACTTGGCAAGACCTCGTCTCTACAATCAAAAATTAGCTGGGCGTGGTAGCATGTGCCTGTCGTTCCAACTACTTGGAAGGCAGAGGCTGAAGGATCACCAGAACCCAGCAGGTCGGTGCTGGGGTGGCCATGAGTGCCACTGTACTCCAGCCTGGGCAACAGAGTAAGACTCCACCTCAGAAAAAAAAAAAAAAGAAAAGAAAAGAACTAAAGCATTAGAGGAAAGGAATATCACTTTAGAAGAAAAGACCATGCCAAAAAATAAAGATTTGACAGAGAACTCTGTCACAGAATAACAGAGGAAGATGGGGGGATTGTTTTTTTTTTTTTTTTACATCCAGAGGTCTCTTGGTGTCAGGATTTTGTCTCTAAGATTATCACCATTCAAAAAATTTTGTTTCAAGGAGAGAAATATAAGAAGAAATTATGGAGGCAAATCTTGAGTCCTGACATCTTGGAATAAGGCCTGTGGTAGGAAGAGTAGTATATCTGAACTAAACCTGAGAGACATGTCCATCTCCCTTCCTCAGTTTGAGAACCTTAGGAGACAGCTAACTGGAGGCCAGAAGAAAGACACAAAGACCTATCAGGGTCCCTGTAGCCCAATAAAGGCATGATAGTTATAATCAGGAGAGTAAGGCTGCCAAAAAGGCAAGGAGAGGGGCGGGGCAGATCCTGGAGTCATTCAGCTTCGGTCCAGTAGGTGGAAGCACCATCCAGGCCTCCATCCTGTTGCTCTCCTCCCTGAGCCCTCCGCAGCAACCCTAGATGTGTACCAAGAGTGTGCTTTGTTTTCAAGCCAAAAAGGGTTTACTGGTATGAGAACTGTTATTCTTTTGACTTGAATTTTACAGAAACTTTCCTCTCTGGCAGATCTTAGTTCCCAGAATCATAGAATTTTAGAGCCAGGAAAGACCTTGGAAGCCATATGATCCAGGCCAAGAGGTGGCAGACAACTCCCTCAAGATCATCCAGCAAATCAAGGTTCTTTGACTCTGTCCAGTGCTCATTTCACTCCGTATGACTATAGGGTAATTTAGAGTAATAATGGGGTGATGTAGTTAAGTGACTAAAACAATACCACAATGTCAGTATGAAGTTGGGAAACAAGGAAGGATCTGAGAGAAACAGGAAGGTTTCTGGAAGTCTGTGTCCTGAAATTGGGGATAAAGGTGGATGAATGCTCTACCAAGGAAAATCTATCTTAAAAACAAACAGGCCCAGCATGGTGGCTCATGCCTATAATCCCAGCACATTGGGAGGCCGAGGTAAGAAGATTGCCTGAGCTTATGGGTTCAAGGCCAGCCTGGACAACTTGGTGAGACCTCATCTCTACACTAAATTAAAAAAATTAGCTGGGTGTTATGGTGTGTGCCTGTAATTCCAGCTACTTGGAAGGCTGAGACAGAAGGATCACCTGAGCCCAGCAGGTCGAGGCTGCAGTGGCCGTGAGCATGCCACTGCACTCCAGCCTGGGAGACAGAATGAAATTCCAACTCGAAAAAAATAATAAAACATAATATAACTTGCTATCATTAATGCAGGAATGAATGAACAAATGTAAAAAAGCCTTTTTTAAAAATTTGTGCCAGGCATGGTGGCTCATGCCTTGTAATCCCGGCACTCTGGCAGTTGGAGGCAAGAGGATTGCGTGAAACCAGGAGTTCGAGACCAGTCTGGGCAACTTGGCGAGAACTTGTCTCTACAATAAATTAAAAAATTAGCCGGGCGTGGTGGTGCACACCTGTAGTTCCAGTTATTTGGAAGGCTGGGGCAGAAGGATCGCCTGAGCACAGCAAGTCAAGGTAGCTGTGAGCGTGCCACTGCACTCCAGCCTAAGTGACAGAGTGAGACTCCAAATAAAAAAAAAAAAAAATGATACTAAGCATAGATGAGGAAGTTCACACCTGAACTCTGTGTTACTATGGTCATAGACAAATTACTTCACTGGGACAGATCTCCCACCTATTAAAGTGTGACTGATAAGATTCACCTCACAAGCAGTTGTGGTATGCTGTCTGACACACAGTAGGAGCTCATTAAAAGATGCTTATCACTGCTATGGAAAGTTGATGGTGAGATACTTACCTCTCAGGATTCTTTATCTCTTCAGTGACATAGTTGAGAGTGTCCCAGCCTGAGTAGGAGAACAGAGCCGAGTACAGTGCCAAGGCAATGTCACCCATTGCAAATGATGAACCCTCAAAGGAATTCTCAAAATGAGTCGAGGCTCCTGGAATCCAAGAACAGTGTAAAGCAAAGGATTAGTGACCATTCCCCCAACTTCAAGATGATCAAGTAAGGTAGAGCAAAGGAATATGGGAATAGCAGTTCAGTGACTTACAACACCTTGGGCAACACAGGTATCAGTGAAGTAACAGGGAACAAAAGACAGACATCTACAGACATGGCCGGAATGCAGGAATGGCAAGGATAGGGATCTTGACAGCAAGGACCCAGGGCGACTTCCTAGAATAAGAAACCACCACGGCATGGAAGGGCTGGAGAACAGGAGTGGTGCAGCTCTGCTTTCCCCTTTCTAACACCACACGGGGCTGACACAGGGTAGAGGATCAGCAGGGCTCAGTATGCTCAGGTCAACAGGATAGTTATAGGGTAGCTATTTGCAACTGGAAACTGGAAAGAAGTAGGTATGAGGGCAGAAAAGACATAGCCACAGCACTGGGCTGGATTCTATGCAAAAACCAGCTCCCAGAACATGGTTGTCAATCCTTTTACCAAGTTCAGCCTCTCTTGGGAGGCAGTATGCATAAAAGTTAAAGGACAGGGCCAGGTTTGGTGGCTCAGCCTGTAATCCCAGAACTTTGGGAGGCTGAGGCAAGTGGATTGCCTGAGCCTGCAGGTTCAAGACCCACCCGGGCAGCTTGGTGAGACCTTGTCTCCACAATAAAACAAAAATTAGCCAGGCATGGTAACACATGCCTGTAGTTCTGGCTACTTGGAAGGCTGAGGTGGAAGGATCACCAGAGCCCAGCAGATTGACGCTGGAGTGGCTGTGAGTATGCCACCGCATTAAAGCCTGGGTGACAGAGTGAGACTCCAACTCAAAAAATAATTATAAGTTAAAGGACAGACTTTGGGATCAGTCTACCTGGGTCCAAATTTCAGGTCCTCTACTTACCACTAGGGACTTGGGCAAGATACTGAATTCTGCAGCCTGTTTTCTCATCTATAAAATGGAAATGAAAGCCAGGTGTGGTGGCTCATGCCTATAATCCCAGCACTTTGGTAGGCAGAGCAAGAGGATTGCCTAAGCCCAGGAGTTCGAAACTAGCCTGGGCAACTTGGCAAGACCTCCTCTCTACAATAAATCAAAAAATTAGCTGGGCGTAGTGATGTGTGCCTGTAATTCCAGCTATTTGGGAGGCTAAGGCAGAAGGATCACCTGAGCCCAGCAGGTTGAGGTTGCGGCAGCTGTATGTGTGCTACTGCACTCCAGCCTGGGTGACAGAGCGAGATACTGATGCAAATAAATAAATAGGAATGATACTAATGCCTACCAAGTAAGGTTATTGTGAGAATTAAATACGACCACAAAGAGCACTTGGAGAAGCATGGCTCACAGAAAATGCTTAAGAAACGTTAGTTGCTATTAATATTTCTTACCCTGGCCAAGTCTAACGATGCCTGCAATGATGACTGCAATCAGTGCCAATACTTTAGCATAGGTGAAAATGTCTTGCACCCGGGTTCCCCACTTGACATAGGCACAGTTAATGAAGGTTAAGAGACCTGAAAGAAAAATAATACTGATTGGTAACTGAGCTTTACCACCCAGAGGGTCTTAGACTCCCAAGCAATTTTTCCAGTACCAGGCACCAAGCTAGACCCTTTGGCCAAAGGCAGACCGTCTGACCTGACTCTGCATTGGAAATCTCTGCCCCAGAACGTCCTCCCCATTACCACTCAGCACTTGCTGAAATCCTGTGTACATAGCACCACCACTCTCCCCACCCCCAGCACCTTATATGGGAGACACAAAACAAAGTGACTGGATTTGCTTACATACAAAAGTGCACCCAAATTCCCAGTCACCGCAGTGGGAGGCAACCGGTAGGTTACGGGATTGGTGATGTGTTCCGGCCCTTGGCTCTGAAAAGTCATGGTCTCTCCTCCTACCCCTCATTTCACATGGCTCCTGGTCACAGCACTCTGACTCTGTGGTGTTACCGATAACCTTGAGAAGTCCACTGTGACTGAGCCAGTGTCTGGTGTCTGGGCCAGCAGGTCAGGACATGTGGCCAAGGATTAGGTTGGGGGCCAGAATTCCTGCCCACTAGCTGGCAGCTCAGCTGCTTGCTTCTGTGCTTAGAAAGATTCTCACAACTAAGAGCAGTCCCTGTAAAATGGGGAATGGCATTTTTCCTGACCAAACAATGGAGAAGTAAGAGCCACAAACATTGTTCAAGTCCTTCTACCCTGGAGTAGAAGTAATTCTTTTACCTGGATGATCTTAAGTTCATGGATCACCTTAGAGCCAGGGATCTTAACAAGTCTCTAAACTCTTTTGCAAAGTTTTAAGTCCATATGAGTAAGGATATGCCTAAGAAAAAGGCCCACGCCTTTTCTTAGGAAAGGTTCATAGCTTTCATTGGAATCTCAAAGAAATCCATTACCCCTTTGCCCCCCAGAAAGTTACAGTCCACTACTTTAGAAGAAGAAATTTGAAAAGGGAAGCCCACACATGCTGTGAGGTTGACCAGTAGCCCAGGATGTGGTGGAAAAGAAAGTTAGAAAAAACAACATAGACCTTCCTCACAGGGGCACAGTGAATCATTTCATTGCTCCCTCCCTCCCAGCTCAGCAGCTGGAACACTCTAAGGAGGGCCTAAAATGAAAGCTCTTCTCCCAAGGTCTCCAAGGCAAGGTCAGCGCCACCCTGCCTCAGCAGCAGAAAGTGAGGCCCAGCATGGGCTTGCCTGTTTGGGGCCACCAACACAGTCAGGACCCACTCTCTGTCTGAGTTCTCCTGGCAGTGGCATGGCCCTCGGTGTCCCTAGTCCTCCCACTCTGTTGTGTCTTGGCCTCATCACATTCTGGCCCAGAGGTTACCTCATCCTGAGAAGCAGGAAAGACCGGCCTCTCATAACAGCTGTCCCATCTTCTGTCTCTCACCCGCCCTCTCATCTCCACCCTCCTTCTACTCACTCGCTGCCCAAGTTCGTTCTGTTCTTCCTGAGAAGGGACATTCCTGTCTTATACAAATGCTAGCCTTTCTGCCTAATAAACAAGACAATAAACAACCAAACCTTATCACAGGGCTGGGCAAAAATGCACCCACAGCTCCAGGCCACCCCAGTGCTGAGTTAATAATTAAAGGCACACATGTACAGCACCCCACAAAATGTCCCCAGTGCCTAGATCTTGCCCTGCACAAATCTTTCAAATCTGTTGATCCTCCTCCACCAGGCATCCATCCTTCACTCCCCACTGGACTCCAGCCTCCAGCTTCCAGAACAGCCCCCATCCCCCTTCGGCCCCACCTGTAACCTCTGCCCTTATCCTCAAGGCTCTGCTGCTGGCTCATAACCACAACACAAGCCAGGTTTCCAGTGAGAGACACTGGGCACAACAGATGCTGCCATGTTCTCAGGAGAACGGCATCCCCAAATACAAATTCATGGTTCCGGGCCGGGTAACTATGGGTCACAGCACCAAGCTGGAATAGGCTTCCAAGACGAGTTCTAGTTCAGAGTCAGAGTCTGTAGACACGGAACACAAGGTTCTTTTCTGGGCTCTGTCCAGGGATGAAGGCAGGGCAAAGGAGGGATAAACAACCACCTCACTATCCTTTTCTCCAGTAAATTCTGAAATGCAAATACACGGCTTGTTTATATTTTAATCCCCACTGCCTCTCTACTTCCCTGTCCATCCATTTGAATCTCTCTTTACCAACCAGTATTTCCCCTCCCCACTCCTGAGCCTTATTTCTCAGCCCCTGTTCTGAATCTCAGTCCTGATCTTCTCGCTGTATTGAACAGAGAGCTCAGTTTGATTGAGAAAGGGAATCCTCCAGAAAAGAAACCAGGGAGCAGGGGAACTGCCCGAAGAGAGCCGGCCCTGGCCTTCCCCAGAGCCTAGCTTCCTCCAGGGCCTCTTGGCCGTGGGAGCAGGAAGTGGGTATGGCAGGCAGCAGTGCTGACTGAGCTCTTTGTCCCCAACCCCAGCGGATACAGCTGACCGGAGGCCCCAGGGCCCAGCCAAGTACATTGCTCTGGAGGTGGAGCCCAGTGTCCTGTCTTAGAGTCAGGGACCAGAGGGAACCATGCGGTTAGAAGAATATGGAGGCGACTGCAAGTTAACCTCAAGAAAGGAGATGCCCTCCCTACCTTTCTACCTCTAGGGACAATTCAATCCCCACCCAACAATGGGCCAAGTCGGTAGAAGGATTACCTAAAATCACCTTTGACCCTTGACTCAGGTGCAGCACCACCATTCCTGTTTTGACCTCAGAGGGAAGAAGGATAATCTGTAAAGAAGTCACTCCTGGCCAGGGGCAGTGGCTCAGGCCTGTCATTCCAGCACTCTGGGGGATGATTATTTGAGCCCAGGAATTCAAGACCAACCTAGGCGATGAAGCAAGACTCCGTCTCTACAAAAAAAATTAAAAATGAACTAGGTGTGGTGACATGCACCTATAGTCCCAGCTACACAGGAGGCTGAGGTAGAAGGGCTGCCTTAGACCAGAAGGTCAGGCTGCAGTGACCGTGACCATGCCACTGCACTCCAACCTGGGTGACAGAGTAAGACCTGAATTTAAAAAAAAAAAAAAAAGTCACTCCTATATCATCTAAAGAGATGTTCCTGAATGGATCATCAAAGCCCAGCCTATGGTTGGATAGGGGCTCATATCTGTAATCCTGCCACTTTGGGAAACTAAAGCGAGAGGACAACTTTAGCCCAGGAGTTAGAGGCCACAGTGAGTTGTGATCGTGCCACTGCACTCAGGCAACAGGGTAAGGCCTTGTCTCAAATAAATAAATAAATAAATAATAAATAATACCCAGCCTACATGGTGTCCCCTGGAGTAGGAGACAAAGTCTAGTCATAAGGCCCAGCATCAATGCTAGAAAAAGGCTAGAGGCCAGGTGCAGTGACCCAGCCTATAATCCCAGAACTTTGGGAGGCTGAAGCGAAAGGATTCCCTGAGACCGGGGTTTCGAGACCAGCCTGGGCAACTTGGGAAGATCTCGTCTCTACAATAAATCAGAAAATAAGCTGGGCGTGGCAGTGCGCACCTGTAGTTCCAGCTACTTGGAAGGCTGAGGCAGAAGGATCGCCTAAGCCCAGCAGATCAAGGCTGCGGTAGCCATGAACGTGCCACTGCCCTCCAGCCTGGGCAACAGAGTGAGACTCCAGCTCAAAAGAAAAAAAAAAAAGCTAGAAAGCACCGAGCCAGGTTGATTCAGAACAAAACAAAGCTTTCAGGTCCACTCTGGATCAGATATCCAGGCTTAGTGTAGATGCCTAAGCAGTACCTGAAAAAGAACTTTAAGTCCACAATCCTCTAAGCACCATTACCTTTAAATAAATACAATGAAACACACAAAACAGGTTGCTATGCAATCCATAGCACAGACATTACCAATTAGAAAGGACTGGTGGCTGGTCGTGGTTGCTCAAGCCTGTAGTCTCAGCACTTTGGGACGCTGAGGCAAAAGGATTGCCTGAGCCCATGGGTTCGAGACCTGCCTGAGCAACATGGGGAGACCTCGTCTCTACAGTAAATAAAAAAATCAAGCCGGGCTCAGTGGCTCAGCCTGTAATCCCGCGCCTTTGGGAGGCTGAGGTGAGTGGATTGCCTGAGCCTGCGGGTTCGAAACCCACCTGGGCAACTTGGTGAGACCTCATCTCTACAATAAATCAAAAATCAGCCGGGTGTGGTAGCGTGCACCTGTAATTCCGGCTACTCGGAAGGCTGAGGCGGAAGGATCGA